GGGGGGGGGGGGCAACTTACCCTGGGAACCAGCTAGCAGTATAAAATAAAATTAAACTCTATGCAAATATTTTCTTTTTATGTATTTTTCTTTTAATTCCACTTCTTTGTCGGTCTGGTGAACGTCGTAAGGTTTAATATACTTCCCAAAAAGGAATTAATGGCTGAAAGATAAATTCACCAATCAACAATAAAATTAACTAATTCAATATGGTCAGTAAAGACCAGAGATACACATCACGCCACTGGAGCCTTGCATTTTGTAATTTTTAGATCTTCAATTTATTCTCCATTATACGCCCGTTTTCTAAATAAGGCCTTGCTCTCCGATAGAATGTTTTTGTTTATATCTGCTTTTAACTGCTGTGTTGTTAAACGTCCAATTTCTAAATATGGCCTTGCACACCGATAGAACACGTTACTGGTTTGTTAAACAAACTAAAACAGTGGTCTATTACACAAATAAGTATATATCAATTTGGTTGGACTATTGGAAGGCATAGGCGAAGGAGTCAAATAATTATTATGGAGCCTTTAACGGGGGGATGGTATAGACCAAGTCAACTGGACTAAAAGCCGGTCTTTGAAAGTACAAAATCAGACACATACCAACATTGTACTTCATTTTCATTAAGAATTTTTAAAAAAGCTTAACAAAAACCTGCATATCATAATGAAGGACTGAAGTCTTTTCAACCTCTGAAAAAACACCACGAGCCTATGTTGTAGGCGTTTATTTTAATGGTGACAAGCGGTTGTTCCCCTGATACGAAAAAAACATGGCTTCAAATGTCACACATATGATGTCCTTCCAGGTGCCGAATCCCAGCAATTAATATATATTTTTTTTTTGTCCAACATCCTCTTTACCTTCCCAAGCACCATGGAAGATGGCTCTCAACAGACTAAGTTATAAGATTCAGCGACGTCAATTAACACAACAAATCGAACGCCTCAAATAAAGCAGTCGATTGTTGACGCAAATGCTTGGTGCGCATTTTTAGAAATCCCTCTACAAGGATTCTTCGGGTATATATATTTCCGCATGGTATGTGGCAGCAGAGCATGGACGTATCTGCACCTCTAAATAATTTACCCACTATAACAGGGTCTGTACCCCTGAGTACGTTTAATGTGGCTGAATAATAACATCGGTAAGGATGCGCTTCACTAGACAGGAGTTTCATGCATTAACCCTCTGCCCACAGACACTCTTTTGCACATAACTGGAAAATGTGACGTATACACAGTGAACTGACGTCACAAAATTGTTAAATGACGTCACAGATCAGTAGAAACAGACAGTGTGTAGGATTGGTCTTTGGCACTTGCCCTCAAAGTCATGCAAGATTTCGTCGACGTCATTTTCCATGTCATCGGATTCCTTGAGCTGAAAAAGATCAATGGCAGTTTTTTATAACATGTAACTGGCGTATCTATAAAATTATTTTACCGGCACAAGTATGAAAAATAGATATATCCTGTAATTTTTCAGTAGTTGGTTCGAAGAGAGAGATAAAAAATGAGAAAATAAGAGATAAAGAGATAAAGAGCACTCACCAATTCACACAAATCACAGATCATAAAGGCACCAAGTGTAGCCTCTTCGTGGTTGTCTTGAATATCAATATTTATCACATGAACGGACTGATACTCTTCCTTCTCCCTATTTTCTAACTCTGGAATAAGATAACACTAGGTCTAAGAATTCATGGCACAATAGATAGGTCTAAATTTTGTCGATGCTATCGTCTTCCTTGCACAACTGGGCCATGTGCAGAATTGTTTGGGTGTATTGGTGGACATCCACGTTGAAGGAAAAGCACTGCCAGGATTTTCATTGAGATTTGGCATGAAGCATGGACGACTTACATCCCGTCCCCTCGGCTTCCTTCTCTACTGACAACTGTAGCTTTCATCACACCTCTCGCAAGTGGCAGCTGGATTCCATTTACCCTCAAATCCCTTGTCGCATTCACCAGTGACAGCCCATGTGCCAATAAACGACCCTCTCCCATTAAGCTAGTTCAATCACTACAGTGACCTATGGACTGTACGCCACGCCCATCACTTAGCGTCATACCTTTCACAAAGCTACGCAACACTTCTCACGCGAGAAATGCGTCACACCTCACCCATGTGACCACTACGTCATACTTACCCTCTATCACCTGGTCGTAGACTCTTTCCTCACACGTGACCACTACGTCAAACCTCTCCACGCAGTCCTGGAACCTCTCCGGCCTCTCCTTGATCCGCTTGTTCCTGTCCAGCATGTGTAGGATGCCGTTTTGTGTATATCTGAGGTACGAGGTTAAGGAATTTTGGAGACAAATTAGGCAAAAATACCATGAAGATAACGGCTTGTCTGAAGATTCGGTAGAAAATGTTTTCTCTTACACTTTTCTTTCTATTCTACTTATTTCGTTGTTTGTTCAGTGTTAAACGTGGCTCTCAACTTTTCTTGACAGCATAACGATGTATATATTAGACTGGTGACAGACTGAGTGACGTCAGCAGACAACCAAGATCTGGTTAAACATAACCTCTGATAATTGTGAATTGCTGTTCACTTTAACTCTCCGTGCACTTGTGATGGGAGTTTTTTGTGTACGAACCATGTAATGAACAGACGTCAGCTAAAGAGGGTTCTGTAGTGCAGACCTAAGACAGTGGATTCAAAATTCTGAAAATTCTAAGCTGCTCTGGGATTCGCTGGGTATTCACTTCGTCTGCTTACGTCAATATACTACTTTTTAATTCAAAATAAGATGATTGTGAACAAATATCAATACTAACGATGTGATTAAGTTAAAGAGATAACAACTGTCCATTGTGGCCCAAAAAATCATACAATGGATTTTCCTGGGGTAAACTTTACCAATGGTTATAGCCCGTTTCGAAACTTACAGTTAGTTCCTAGTTTATTTCTAGTAAGTTTGGTTTTTGTAATAATCTCTTAAGATATTATTAAAGAGGGTAGCCATCTATGGAGGTCACGTGGTCTGATGGCAAGAAGAGATACCAGAATGATTTCAATAGCCGCCATTTTGGTGGTAAAATAGAACTTATTATATTTCTTTGTGTTGTTTACAATGTATTCATTGTGAAATGTGGATCTCAAACGAAGAGTTGTTATCCTTTTAAATGACGGACAACCTAACTACTAGGGGTATGTGTGTGTGAATGTGAAGGCCTATGTGGTGGTGGTATGTGTGTGTGTGTGGGGGGGGGGGTGCAAATCAATCTATGTAAACCAACGCATTAAATCAAACACGAACACAATTTCATACAAACACGCAGAATTAAAATGCAATGGACCTACTGCCTCATATTGCCCAACACAGTCATTGGCCCATACAATTAAAGCAAATATAATAAAAAAAAATCGAGATTTCAATATCATTTAGACTCCCACTTCAAAAAATTGACGAAACCCAAAAGTACGTGCTTTTCGCTAAATTATGGGTGTGATATTTAGCGTAGCAAAAAGTTTTGTCCAAAGTAGGCACTTAAAAATGAAATCCGAGTTTTCCATTATAACCAATCTGTATAACGGCGGTTGATTGGATGTGAGACTAGTGATCGAGATATGACATTACTGGGGAGGGGGGGGGGGTCACAAACCACTTTTGTATCAACTTGTCGGGAAATATCGCCTTGCACTGGGGGCNGAAGAGGGGCGGTACCAACCAGTCCTCACCAAAATGCCACGCTTCTGCCTAGTATCTAAACCGGTCTCTATTTCTGTTACTGGTATTGTAAATAGCACTTAATTTTACCATCACCTTCTAAGAGGTAGCGTTTTAATGCAACCCCCAAACCGCTTTCATTTTTACTAGGTAGAGCCGAGTACGTGGTTGCACACTTTTCTTGAACTTTCAGATCTGGATAAGGATAATTAGATACAATATGTAAAAGAAGACAGCCGATGAAAAGACAAAACCCAGGAGATCGGGAAAAGAAACAATCCCAACACTTTTATCAAGGAGGAAGAAAGGAAGGGGGCGAGGGCTCAAGACTGACCAGTCGAAGGCGTTCCCGTTTTCTTTCTAGGAAACCAAAATTGTAAATATATATTTTTGTTTAAAAACTGGTTCTCCTCCCTTTTTTAAGAAAAATGGTCAATTTAACATTTGACACATGCATTTCTGTCCACCCCATCCTGCATTTTACATTAAGCAGCCACGAAAGCCACATTCTTGCAAAGTTTAACCCTTTGCCGGTGGAGGAGAAAAGACGTTAAGAAGAGAAAAACAATTGGCAAAAATTCAGTACGTCTTTTTTCACCAGGAACTGCACTACGAGCAGGATAAAGCTGAAAGATATCAGACAGTATCAGGAGATAAACCACCGAAACACAAATTACGGGGATTTTTTATTTATTTATTTATTTATTTTTTTTTTGGGGGGGGGGGGCATAGATGTGAGCTCCATTAACAAGCAAACGAAAAGATCCATCCTGGAATGCAGATGCATTTCAAGCCAATATTGATGTTCTTGTGAAAAACGTACTACTTACTGTGATCGCTGACGGTGCATGCATTGAACCACGTGAAACTTCAACCACTGGCAGACGGAACTTCCTGCAGTCGCACACTCGCTTCTTCACCATATCTTCGGTATTCAAGAAGACTAACTTCATGTTAACCACTGATAAAGAGTGGAAGTATTTACATGCTTGTTATCTAGGTACTCGATTAATAGCGACCCCCTTATCGCTGAGATTTTTTTGAGAGACGCAGCCTCCTCATTTCAAACGGAATAGGCCCTATAAGGCACCCATGTGGTAATCAAAAGTTGAGGGTTAGTGTACCAGTAATGATCATAATGAAGTATAACAACATCTACGGCAAAGTGCAATGTATGAATAGCCATCGGTATGCTTTTGGACCGTTCAAAATGACTTATGTCGCGCTAACAAGTGGAGACTTTATCCATGGGGAATCTCACAGAATGCAATCAGATAACTCGCCTCTTTTTGTTTCCAACGCACTAGTATAACTACCAGATTCTATGCAATCTACTCAAGGTCAGGAGGCGTGTTAGGTTCTCAATCTGATTGCATTCAGCAAAAGTCACCATAGAGTTAGTGCACACTAGCTAGTGCGATCCAACTTATTCTAAACAGTCCCTTATTGTTATGCCCTTTACTCTTGACGTATTATTAGATACAGTAGATACCGGTACCTGTCAGACAGTAACATGTACCCGCACTATAGGGGGCTTACATCCTTTCACGAGTTCTTCACAAATTCGATTTTTTTTGTTGTTGTTCAAGTTGAATACCCATGACAACCGCAGAGGACTGTTTAGGTTCTCTTACGGAAAATCTTGGCCATTAAGCTGTCGTTTTCTCAAAGTGCACCGGTACAGGCTGTATCAGATGAGAATACCGCACGATGTGAACAATATTCCTTGATCTCTTTGGGACAAAAGTGTCAGACTGCAGCGATTGTCGAAATTTCAGAATGAAAAATCAAAACATTCAACTCGTTTTCACTACATCGACAAATCAGTAATTCGTGAATGCGGCGTCAGTGTATTCTTTAGGTTGTATATGTGCGTTTTGTTACACACGTTTTGCCAAATTACAAATAGCTTGCTCATGCGCATTGAGGCGTGGTTCCGTGCAGTTTTCAACCAGCGGTCAAATGAAGGTCACGAAGGGGTCAAATGAAGGTCACCAAGAGGTAATTTTTATGTCCCTAGTAAGTGGGTTATTGTAATCGTATGGCCACTGAGAAGAGAACAAAACTGTCACCTCTATGATGTTGACACTACGTACTTTAAACATTAGAAACTGGCTGAAAACGAACGTGGTTGACACAACACATCAGGTTTTAAGCCCCAGAAATAATGTGCTGTCTGTCCGTAACAGAATTTATAAGCCATGCAGCAAAACAGTATAAGACACCTTTCCGAAATTTCCACCCAACTAAAAAATATCATTTTTCTATACGGAATACAAATTTGATTTCTAAATGCGCTTCATTTGCATATGCACCTCCTCCAAAAAAGTTACAATTTACTTCCTACGTGAGATTTAGACGATACAACTTGAATGGACAGTCAGTTAAAAATGCAACATCAAGTCGATGAGTAAAAGTAAAAGGGTTACCCCATCAACATCCGTTTTTTCTCTATTTTTTTTTTAATAAGGCTCATAATCTTATTCTTAAAAGTTAATTGTTTTGTTGGCTTACTTGTGGTCGTCTGGAACACAGCCATAAATCCATGGAAAGCATAAGCTCAAGAGAGTAAACTGTAGACAGAAATTACAACCAGAGGTGATCAAAACACCACATTTTATAATTTTCTCAACTTTAACCTGGTTATTTTACCGTTCTCTTACGTCGTATACTTGTTTCCCTATAACAGATTTGACTAAAATTCATAGGTGTCAAAATGCAAAATAACCAAAACACTTTCCGTTTTAGTGCGAATCTCTGCCATTATTTTCTTGTTCTTCCTCGAAATTTAACATGGTCTAGAGGTTGATTCGCGACCGGCAGGTGTTGGAAAATACCAGTAAAGTAGCATTTTTTTTAAATGAGAAATAGTAACTTGGAGTTTGTAAATGTGACTAATCCCAGCCCTCTCATGAACGCCAGTGAATTTTTTTCTTTTCTTTTTTTAATTTATATACTATCTAAATAACTTTCTCCCCCCCCCCCAAAAAAAAAAAAAAATTATAATAAAAAAAAAACAATAAAAAAATTAAAAAGGAGAAAAAGGAAAATATTATCCTCCAGGAACAAAGTTTACATCCCTCCATGACTAATTTGATTAATGCACTCATTAGCTATATGACTATATCATCTAAATTTAAAATTCACATCGCTTGAGAGGTTAGAGAAATATGAAGGGACTACAACTATCTCCAAATCACCCCATTTTCTCCATTTTCAGTTCTCTTTGGGATAAAAAGATTCAAGCAGGACAAACACCATTCTGGTGAATTTTAAAACCTTTATTATAAAAATATTCTTATTGAGTTATACTTTTACTCTTTATAATGAGAATTTTACAAACCATTTCCAGTATCAGCAAACTGAAAGTAAAAACAAGGAAAGTATAAATGGTTTAATCTTAACAATACATATTTAGATGTCTTTATTGCTTTTTTTTTTTCAATCTGCATGTAAAATAATTCAAAATCTACTCATTCAAGGATCAAGGAATGTAACTCAAGTTTTTAGTTAGTAAAATTAAGAATATCTATTATTGACAAAAACATTATGATTACAGATTTGAAATTAATTTAATAAAATCGAGAACTTACCTTTCATCATTTAAATTCAGCGCCCGTGTGTAGGTTATATAGACAAAGAACAGGCCTTGAATTCAAAACACACACACACGCACACAGTTTTGAAGCACTGTCCGATCTTAGGTTTTTTGAAAGACTACCTCTCATATTAGATGAAATCTGTCTCTAGCACCACAACAGTTTACAAATATATACATAATTACCAAGCAAAAAAAAAAAAAAAAAAAAAAAAAAAAAAAAAAAAAAAAAAAAAAAAAAAAAAAAAAAAAAAAAAAAAAAAAAAAAA